GAATAAGGCCGTGACAGACGAACGGACATCCAGTGATTTTTTAATGGAGAAACCGTCTAGACGGACGGACGCTCTGACTGAAGCGTTACCATGGTACGATCGTTCCTTTCTTATTTTTTATGGGGAGAGTAATGCTGATACTAAGATGTACCCATAGGTTCGCTGAGCGCATCAACTTTATCAAAGTTTTTCTTTATGGGACTTATCACTTAACTATATGGACGACTTGGGTTGAGTCGACGGTCAGTCGGTCACCCGGCAGATAGAGGAACAAGAGCCAATTGCCAGGCAGCACTGCAGCAGCAGGTCAGTCGTCGCCCGTACCACTTGGACAAAGACGTGAAACTGAGCTCCTATACGGTACTACCGATAGCTGCTCAGTGTAGGATAAATACGACCCTACCATTGATCGGTATCATTGCTCGGTGTAGCTCTCTCCAACTGCTCTTTTGACTGTAAAGGAACCGTTTCTCTCCCTTCTCCCCAAAATAAAATAGGATATAGGATTTGTTCGTTTTGCTGAAAAGTCATGCTAAAAATACTGTTCGCTGATTTATTATGAGAAAAAAACACTCTTCATTTACTAAAATAGTACGGCTCATAAGACAAACAAATAGAGCCATAGTAAAACCACTTGGTTAACACACCGGCTATCTAGAGCTATCTAGCAAGAAGCTGGAGCTCTCATAAGCCTACCAAACGAGCCCATTAGAGAAGAATCACTCTCCCTGAGTCTCAAAAGAAATAAAAATTTCATCACATGAGGAGTCAAACAATTATAAGTTTGATCAAACATATACAAAAAAAGTACTAATATTGATGATACATAATAAACATTAGATAAATCATATAATACATTTATATAATAAACCTATTTAAAGTATAAATGCTGATATTGTTTTAACTTAGGAACGTTTGACTCTTCGGGAAGCGAGATTTCATTCCCTTTGTGATGGAGGGAATATCAAAAGGAGAAAATATAATGATAGTTACTGCCCCGTTTCAAAATGAATACAACTTTATTCTTAAGTCAAACTATCTTCCTATATGATGTGAATGGACCTCTAGCTGAGTTGGTTAGAGGCTTTAGTAGCACTTTTTTTGTCTTGGGTTCGCCTCCACTTAGGAGCGAATTTCAGGCTGATGTTAAAAAGATCCCCTCAAATATGAAATTGGAGCATAGATACATTCACATTGATTACAAAATTTAGATCTCAAATGACATTCTTAGCAAGTTCAATCCTGAACAAGTTAGAGAGACCCCTAGTGCACTCCAGTTTAAAATACATATTATATTCTAATTTATGCTGGTAAAAAAATGTCACTTTTGACCATCAATGTATAAATGGTTATATAGTTTGATAATGTATATTTTTACTAGATAATGAAAACAATCCAGCTTTTGTCTAACATTATTGCAAAGTCCTTCCATCTCCACACACTAAGTTTAACACTAACAACCAATGCAAAAAAAGAAAAAACAAACTGCCAACCATAGGAGGTGAAGAACTCCATTGACCTTGACTCTAATAGCCGGCAAGAGCATACAAGATTATCTTTGAGGTCCTATACTATGAACTTTTTTACTATGGTTGGGGAGGCGTCAAGAAGCGTTAGCTGTGTCAAGGATTGATGGGCCCATATGAGGAAAGGCGTTGAGAGGCGTCAATGAGGGAGGCGTTGGATGTGTCTATCATCGGTAGGCCCATATGCGCCATAATGCCTCCCAACGCCTCCAAAGTTGAGAGGATTAGGACTTCAAATAAAAGAGTAATAATTTTTTTTTCGTAGTTATTTATTTTAATCAAGGATAAAATGGTAAATCCATAATTGTAAAAATAATGTTTTGAGTCGATGAATGGGTGCTGCCGCCGGAGGCCAGACATGAGTTCTGCCGAATGTCGATGGTGTAGCGTTGGTGCTTCTCGTCCTCGCTCGGGCTGAAAACGCTAGCACGCAGCAGCGTCACGCCCCAGCGCGTTGCCATGTCGCCACACTGTGGCCATCGTCGACTTGTATGCGCCGAGGACGCTCCGTTGCAGGGGATCTACGCGGGGTGTGGCCATCCGCCGGCACCCATTAGATATGGCTTCGATTTCCACTGTGTACAGATGAAAGGCATGTGAAGCTTAATCAATAGGGAGCCTGGAGAAATATATGGTTGCTGCTAGCTTGATCTCCATTGCTTGCACAGGAACAGGACAACATAGGAGTAGATTCATTTAAGAAAGCAAAGCCACAAGGACGAAATACTCATTTTCCTGACTACTGTAATTACTTCAGGTTGATAACCTATTCAAAACATACTAGCCGAAATAGCAAGTTCAGTGCCAAATTTCATCTTGCAATCAATTCAATGGTGACAGCCTCATGTATTACATAACCTAGAGATAGCTACAACCAGTGATTATTCATTTATTATTGTAGCAACATTAGAAGTCCATGCTCAAAATCAGACTTTGCTGCTTACTCCACATATATATATTTGCCTTTTCTGGGTGGGAAATGTGGGTGCACTGGTGATCGAAGAGAATAGCCGGATTACTGCTGCTCATTTTTAACAAAAATCATCAAACATATCAGAATGTCAGATATAAAAGGCAGAGCATCGCAAGCGCATGTACCTGACTCATGCCACTCAAACAGTGAGGCAATTTCAGACCAAACAAGTTTGGAACCATGGTGGCTACCCAATCAAATAGCACATGTACAAATCAGTGGCCGTGTCACACGGAGGTGCAACTACAGAGTGTTACTGTTTTCAGGTTCCAACATGTGCGTGTGCCTGAGAGAAAAGTTGTACCGTCGTCATGAAGAAGCGGAGCCAGGGGAGGCCGCAGGGGAAGGAGATCTCTCCGGGGAGCGAGATCACCCTGGCAGCGGGCCAAGGGCAGGGCGCGCGTCAGGCGGGGGTGCCGAGGAGGAGGGAGGAGCGACGGGCTCCGTGTCGGCGACGATTGAGGGGGAGGGCAGGCCGGCGCCATGCGAGGTTGAGGGAGAGAGCAGTGCAGGCAGGGCCACCGGCGCGACACCGTACGAGGACGGCGGCACCAGCTAGAGCGAGGGAGAGAGTAGGGCGGTGGCGGCGGCCTAGGGTGAGTGAGAGAGCGAGGTGCGTGCAGTTTGGGAGGAAGGGGATTCGCAATGACCATATTGCCCATGATGAATAAAAATCAACAAAAACAGCTTTTTTTTTTGTAGGCATCAGAAACGTTAGGAAGCATTTCCAACCATTATAAAAGGGCTCCCTATACTATATGTATTATAACAGAGCCCAGAACTGGAACCAATACGTTCTTCTGAATGATACCTATAAAAAGATTTTTGATTGATAGTTGTGAAACACAATGTCATTTGTTGTAAGCTAAATAGCCTAGCGGATGGCCATAATCCTTGTCATTAATAGAATTTTTTTATTTCGACATCCCTAACTATGTATGGAATAATTGGTCAACATTGGTAGGAGGACACCTAGAAATACATGGGCGCTATGCCACTTGGTATAGTGATAATCAAAGAACAGATGTTTGATTGTTTCAGGTTTGCTACAGTAATATTAAACTTATTTTCATTTCAGTTTATCTTTGCTATTTATATTTGGTTAGAATGATCTTTTTTCCCTACCACAAGAAAATCTTAATCTTTAGTGGTAACTTAATATGCCAAATTTCCTATGAGACCTTAACCCTATTATATTGATTAAAAAATTGGTACGTTCAAATATTTAGCTACCTCCCTTTAAAATATCACATTTTTCTAGATACTTTTTGGCAAAACTTTTCCCTTGTACAAATGTTGATATACTAAACGGCATGTAATTTATTGGCGGGAGTCCTATCATTTTTCTATCGTTCACACCCCCAAGTATTTTTAAAATTTAAATTTAAATGAACTCTAAGGTCTATAGTACGAGTTGGCATTAATACTGCTGTCCTGTGCTGCAAGTTCTTGACCATTCCCAGGAGTGTTGCAACCACCCAATAACATTCCCAGGATGATTTGTAAATCGTAATTTCACATCATGTTGTCCTGTTTAGATCATATGGTCTAAAATTTAACCACTTAACCTTTAGATCATACGTTGTCGTGTAGGCTGACGGTGCCTTTAGGATAGTCTGTTACACGATGTATAGGAAAAGTATAAAGATCAAGAAATAGTTTGCTTAGTAAAGTTAATAATTTTTTTGTGAACACTTAGTAAAGTTAATCAAGTGCTCTGGCACACTTAATCCTTAAAGCAAAAAGACAGAACATTCAAGCTTCACGTGGTAAAAAACAAAGCCAGGATAAAAAATACTGTTCACTAATTTATCGTGAGAGAAAAACATTATACCATGTCTGATAAGCGAACATGCCAAAGACGCCTCCATCTGGTACCACTTGCTGCTGTGCACAGTAAGTAGTGACACCTAGTTTCTGAATGGCAACACTGCTGAATTCCTGTGCACCACATACACACTTTAAACAATGATGCCAAAGCTAAGCAGAACAGCTAGGCAATACCTTTCTTTCTTTCCTGGAACAATCAAAAGAACAGAGCAGAGTAGCGTCCACACAACACAGCAGCCACTATTCCTTGACCCACACTCCTCCCTTTCCATTCCATGCAGAGGTAACCCTTTGCCTTTAACCTAGGCGATTGAACGAAGCTGAAAAAGGCCGCATCAGAAAGATCTCTGAAAAGGGGAATAACAGTTAATCCTTTCTTTCCTTGCATTTGCATTTGCATCTTTTTGTTCCTTGCTGCTGCAACAAAACCAAGAAACAGAAAGCCTTTCTCCTTCCCAGGAGGAAACTTCCAATCCACAACACTGCTGCTCCCATCTTCTTCCTCCTGCAGTCCTGCCTATAAAAACACTCGCCTCCACACCCTCCCAGAGGCCCACACCACCAAGAAAAATAAATTCAGAGAAAGGGGGGAAGGGAAAGCAGACAAGTAGCTAGCTGCGCTGCCTCCCCTGCTCCCAGACTCTGCCTGCCTGTCCTGCCCGGCTGCCCCGATGGCTCCGAGGTGGGCCCCGCCCGCTGGCCTAGTGCTTGTGGCGCTGCTCGCGCTGCTGCTGGCGCCTGCGCCGGCGCGCGGGGACAAGCCCGTGAGGGGCGGGGCGTCCAGCTCGGTCGCCGGGGCGGAGACGGAGCCGTCCTCCGCCGTCTTCCCGCTCTACGGCGACGTCTACCCGCACGGGTGCGTTCCCCCTTCTTCCCCCTCGCTCTCGCTCTGCTATGCGTGGCCAGCCACTGTTTCCGCCCATTCCCCTTCGCTGACTCCAAGAGCCACGAGTCCACGATGAACCAATCAACTGATTGCCACTTTTGGTTCCATTCGGGTGCCCCGTAGATTTCCGTGCGCATTGCTCTATTCCTTCTTGGAGCAACATAATTGTTTAGTTGTGGCAGTGATGGGTCATCTTTTTTAGAGAGAAAAAAAATCATTTTTTGATCAACAAAATCGATTTCTTTCGCAGCTTGTACTATGTGGCCATGAGCATCGGCAACCCGCCGAAGCCGTACTTCCTGGACGTCGACACCGGCAGCGATCTCACCTGGCTGCAGTGCGACGCGCCCTGCAGGAGCTGCAACAAGGTACCGTTCCTTCCTTCGCCGTGTGTTCCATGGCTCTCTGATTTTTAATTCAGGTCGGCCAAAGGATGCTGCTATCACAAGTTATTCATGGAATCATGGTGGTGTTAATTCAAGGATCATTGTTCAATCTTGGGATTATTTTGGCCCCAAAAAGTCTTTACCTTGACTGTTTTTCTTGTCTAGGCACTGCTTTAATTTATCAAATTCACATTCAGGAAAATCAGTAACTGCTGGCTTGTTGATTACGCTACTTCTGCTGCAAATATCATAGGGCCTGTTTAGTTGGCAAAAAATTTTGGTTTTGGGTACTGTAGCATTTTCGTTTGTATTTGGTAATTAGTGTCTAATTATGGACTAATTAGGTTCGAAAGTTTCGTCTCGCGATTTCTCACCCAACTGTGTAATTAGTTTTTTTTTTCGTCTACATTTAGGACTCCATGCATGTGCCGCAAGATTCTATGTGATGGATACTGCGCAAAAAATTTTGGCTTTTGGATGGAACTAAACAGGCCCATAGTTCGGATACCATGTAGGCACAATATTCTGTATTTCTGTTAGTTAGTTTGATGTTCCTTTTCAAACGAAAAGTCAGTTCTGTCGGAAAAAGAAGGTAAAGTTAGATTGGTGTAGTCCACAAATGACAGTCACGAATCAGTTCAGTTCAGGAATTGGCATTTTCTCCTGGATGTCCCCATTCGGACTTGCTTTCCATTTCAAGATTTGTTGTCTGGTCATTTCTTAGTCTTGCATTGCATGACCTGTGGAGGGATCATTCTATTTCTTCTAGCCCAACATTTTAATTAAATACCATGCTTAATATACCTTTTGGCATTGGCTTTTGTCGGTGCAGGTGCCACACCCACTCTACCGGCCAACAAAGAACAAGCTGGTGCCATGCGTGGATCAATTGTGTGCTTCCCTCCACATCGATCTAACAGGGAAGCACAAATGTGATTCACCATATGAGCAATGCGACTATGTGATTAAGTATGCAGATCAGGGATCATCCACCGGTGTGCTCGTCCATGACAGTTTTGCGCTCCGCCTCGCAAATGGCTCTGTTGTTCGCCCCAGTCTGGCATTCGGGTTCGCTACTTGCATCCTGTGAGGTGTACAGCTTTGCAAAATTAGATTCTTGAGTTGGTATTTTTTTTGGCCGCTTCCATTTGTGCAGGTGTGGTTATGACCAACAGGTCAGCAGCGGTGAGATGTCACCTACTGATGGTATGCTTGGGCTTGGGAGTGGATCAGTTAGCTTACTTTCACAGTTCAAACAGCATGGAGTCACCAAGAACGTGGTTGGCCACTGCCTCAGCCTAAGAGGAGGCGGGTTCCTCTTCTTTGGTGATGATCTTGTGCCTTATCAACGTGTTACATGGACTCCTATGGCTCGCAGTGCTCTCCGGTGAGCATCATGGTCCTTTTTAAAGTTGCAAAGAAACCTGTTTCCTTTGGCATTTTTAGATGAGATCAGAATAAATTGTGGCCTTACTTTCTCCCTTTCAAATTGTCATAACATTATATTTTGTGAATTATTATCCTAGCTTGACATAAGCTTGTATTTCCAGGAATTATTATTCCCCTGGCTCAGCAAGTCTGTACTTTGGTGACCAGTCGCTGCGTGTGAAACTGACGGAAGTAGTCTTTGACAGTGGAAGCTCATTCACCTACTTTGCTGCACAGCCATATCAAGCACTTGTCACCGCTGTAAGTTTAAAAACTTCTCATGTAGTGCAAATGATTCATGAGTAAACATGGGGCTAATGAGGTTTTGTTTTTCTGCAGCTTAAGGGTGACCTAAGCAGGACGCTGAAAGAGGTATCTGACCGTTCTCTGCCTCTGTGCTGGAAAGGGAAGAAACCATTCAAATCTGTGCTTGATGTGAAAAAGGAGTTCAAATCTTTGGTGCTGAACTTTGCCAATGGCAAGAAGACGCTCATGGAGATCCCTCCTGAAAACTACCTCATTGTTACAGTAAATATTCCATAACCCGATGAATTATTATCAGCAGCAGTAAGTTGTTGGTGGCTAAAATCTCTTTCTCTGTTTGTGTCAGAAATACGGCAATGCCTGTTTGGGCATCCTCAACGGATCTGAAGTCGGTCTCAAGGATCTGAGCATTCTTGGAGGTAGGAAGTTCAGACAAAACCAGTTAACCCTGTTTAAGAAGTTTATTTATGACTCGCACGACAATTGATGTTCTTTGCAGACATTACTATGCAGGATCAGATGGTGATATATGACAATGAGAAAGGGCAAATTGGATGGATTCGTGCACCCTGTGATAGAATCCCCAAGTTTGGATCCTCCGCCCTTCTGTGATCATTTCACACCCCTGTACAGTGAACATACACCCACTTAATTCATTTCTATCTATCCAAACAGCGACAATACCATTCATGGATTTGAGGAAGGTTATTGTTGGCCTCAATTCCCGGGGATCATTGGTCTTCCGAACGAAGATTGCCCAGCCTATTACCGTTCAAACAAAGAGTGATTTGCCAAGGGGAGGCCGCTAGAGTGACAGAAAGAACAGAAGGATGATCACCACGGGGAGGCTGGACACAGTGTTAGGATCATGTATTCTTTAGGAAAAAGAGAACCTAGTCACATGTAAACATCATAATGTTCATATGAAATATAATGATCACCCTGTTACGAGTTACAGCGAGTGTTCAGTATAATCTTTTCGAGCTTTTGTTTGTACACTCTTTAGTCTTTACTTAGTGTTCTAGCGATGTGATATATATTATGGTTCCAGGTGTCTAGCGAGTAGCGACTATGTATGATATAGGCAGGCAGTAGCATGTCTTGTTCTTCAGGGGCGTTGTGTGGAGAATGGCCCCTGGAGAGGATGATGTTTCAAAAACAAGTCAGGAACACTTGTGTTAGATTATTCCCTCAAGACCTGTAGTAGGTAGGTAGTAGCTGGGTAAAGTTGTATTATTACTAGACACAAGGTATTTGTTACTGGAGATCACCTTGTTTCAGAAAGTACTGAACAAGGTGCAGCCGCTTGTCGCCTTGTCTTATTCATCAGGGGCGTTGTGTGGACTGTGGAGATTGGCCCCTGGAAACAATGATGTTTCAGAAAGACGTGTTTAGATTATGCCCTCAAGACCTGTTGTAGCTGGGTAAAATTGTATTATTACAAGACACAAGGTATTTGTTACTGGAGATCACCTTGTTTGTTTCAGAAAGTACTGAACATGTTGCAGTAGGCATTATTGCTTGCCCTATTGTTAGTTGTTCTTATTTGTTGCAAACCTCGGAATGCTTTGTTATGACTTCTATAACAGTGAGCCCCAGGGCCCAACTGAAGCGAGGACCAAGAATTTAGATTTACTAACTGTCGGTTACAAACTTACTGTACAACTTGCATGCTATAGAAACAAGTCTGTCCTGGCCACTACCGAGTTGACGAGTTTCAGTAGCAGCTACTAGTCTACTACTTCACAGCAACAAGCTTCCCCGGTGTACTTGCGATGCGACGCTAGCCACTGAATGGGCGGAAAACCTTGAACGCGCCCACGAAGCTGGCGATGGACCCTGCTGTGGCGACGACGGACACGACGAGGCACACGGCGGCGAGGGCCCTGAGGGAGATCCACTCGGCGCTGCCGCGAGTCACGGTACTAGACATCCGTACTAGTCATCCTTAGCAAGTCGGACAGTCTCTCCGGATTCCGGAAGACGATTATATTAGATGATGACTAGTACGGTGTCCATGCTAAGGATGATATTTTTTCATGCTAACGCTACGACGACTTTCGGTACTACAAATTAAACATTTAAAACATAATACATGCATTGGTAACAAAGCATAGATATGGTATGTTTAAGATTCGCTAAAAAGCAACGATACATAGAGTTAGATATATTTGCACTGATCTTATTTGAAATACATTGATAACTTCACAAGACACGTTCAAAAGGTTAGAAGTACAATAAGTATATTTTCTGTCAATCGTCTTCTGTACCCTAGATACAGAGGCCTAAATAAGTATATAAGTTTTGGTGGCAGTGATCGCCGGGGCAAAATGTTGTGTGCGAAGCACTTTTCTACCAAAATTTTTCTGCAGCTAGCAAGCATATATTAGATGATGATGAGTAGTGTTTTTTTTTTGCTCAGTTCATTTATTCCCATACTTTCATGATCACCAAAATTTCACCAACTTCGAGTACTTGTGGTCCCGGCTTCAATTTGAATTTGAATTGAATTAAACCCGGCTATGATCCGCTTTTTTTTGTCATCCTAAGGATGATATTTTTCTCTCACAAAATCCTCGGTAAGAAGGTTAGAAGTATAAGTATTTTTCTATGTCTTCTGTACCCTAGATACAGAGGCATTCCTCTAAACCATCCAAATTCCTCCAAGCGAGTAGTGTTTTTTTTTGCTCAGTTCATTCCTGTAACTCCCAAACAGGGCGTCCTTAAGGGATCCGCTTTGCAACCAGGAATCATCGGATCGCATCGCCATCGAATTCATCCAGGCTTCTGTTTTCTCTAGAATATTCGGCCCAGATGCGTTTAGGTTAGGTCCAACGTGCATCATAAAGCCCATTTCAAATGTATGTTTTATTAGGAGTATAAGAGAATTCATTTTTTTCTATTTTTTCATTTCCTTTTTTTCTCCTTCTATTTTATGGAGTTTTGTTTTTTTATTTTTGTTTTCCTATTCAATTTTGACTTCTTTTATTTTTCGTCTAATTATGTTTTATTTTTAAAAATGCTTTGTAAAGGATGCATTTTGTAATGTTTCTATAGTACTTGGGAGATCTTCCTTGGTGTATTTCTTGCCGTTTATATGGTATCCATAACATTCCATGATGTATTTTTAATTGTTCATGCAGTACACATGAGATATTCCGTGGTATATTGTGGGTTGTTCAGGTAGTAGTAGTATATCCACATGATATTCCAGGATCACAGTAACCATGAGATCTTTTATACTCATTTTCATGATTTTTTCATGGATTTTAATTTTTATTTCTGATTTTATTAGTTTTTAATAGTTATTTTCCTTATTTATACTTTTATACATTGTGTATTTTGTAATGTTTCAATAGTACCCATGAGATGTTCATGTGATATCCATAGAATGTTATGATGTATTTTTTAGATTGTTCACATACTACCCATTAGAAGTTCCTTGGCATATTTTGGTTTTTTCACATAGTATTCAATATTCATGTGATTTTCCATGATGTATTTTTTATGCTTCACATAGTACCCATGAGATGTTTTTGTTGCATTTTGTTATTCATGTAGTATCTATGAGAGGCTCTTCGACATATTTTTAATCATTTCCATAATTTCCATGAGATGATTTTTTCCTACTATTGGATATGAGTATCATGGAATATCATTATAATAAAACTAAAACTTTACTCTTATGGAACATTGATCTCCTGAACCTAGAACATTTTTTTTATGAAGACGAAACCTTTTTTTCAAAACTTGAAACATTGTCTCTGCTTGATAGAAGTGGTAACCGAGTTGAATGGTGGTGAACGGGCCGCGGATTGGGTAACCGGCGGCATCTTCAATTGGGCCGGGCCGAGCTATCCGAACGGCCCCATCTCGTGCCGTCGTCGACTCGCCATGGCCACGTCCGCTCCACGGCGGCGCCGCCGCCGCACCGCCGTCGAGAGGTCTCAACTCCCAAGTAACCAAATGGCCGCAAACCACTCACACCGCCGCAGCTCTCTTAGGGTGGCGGCGAGGAGGTCAGGTCGAGGAGCTCGGAGGCGCGGCGGTGGGCGAGGTCCGCGCCCTCTCACTCAGACTGACGAGCCACAACGCGATGCCGCCCTCGCCCCCCGCTGTCCGGCTGCCCGCGCGCCCCCAACCTCCTCCCCTCCGCACTTGTAGAGATTGGTGCTCAATTAACATCCGACTGATCAAGTAAGCGCACATCAACATATATCTATTCCGAACAAATTGCAGTTCGGTTCACATTGAGTCCTGTTGGTTCCATCTTCTTTCACAGGTGTTTCTTTGGTTTTCTTTTCATTCCATTCGACTGCTCGGTTGGTTGGATTCCTGAAGCAAATTGCGGCGATATAAAGTACACGTGGAGCATCTGAATGTTACCCTGTACACGGTAAACTCTCTCTGTGCATGTCAGACGTTTGAATTCAACGTATCTAGATATCTCCACTTTGTTAATTCCACGCTGAGCCTCGGTGTTAACATCGTCACTGTTATCTTGCACTTGCGTGCTGTTGTCTGCACCTATGACCTATGCTGGTCTTTCATGTTGCACTCATACTACCTGAAAAACTATTCTAACTTATCTCAAGCCACTGTTGTCCATCATAAATTTTCACGGAAGTGCGGAACTTGCATCAGCATTTGACGTTGGGATTAATACTGTCTTTAGGGCGTCTAAAGAAAGGTTTCTTTTTGTGTTTGTTGCCATGTTTAGAGAGGAGTTGATGGTTTCTTTTTCTTTTATCTTGCAGTTGTGTCTTCATTTGAAGAATCATTGTAACTGCTGTGGCCTGTGGATAATAATGATCAATGAGGTGCAATGGCTTTGCCTTGAGATTTACCGTGAGTGTCCACCAAAGGCTCCTCAAAGGGAAATGCCCAAAGGGGATGCAAGGTTTCCAGGTGAATAATGATCCTCCTAACTTGCATTTGAAACACAACCTCATAAAATCGTACATGACTTTTGGCTTTAGTATGGTGCAAATATATTCCCTATATGAACGAAGGATGGTAAATTTGTGTAGGATACAACTCTCTATTCTATCGCTCTTACCTTTTTTTTTTTGCTTATTTATTGTCTGTTACCTTCAGATATAACATATTTTAATTGTTGGCTGAAAATGGTGTCTGGGCTATATCATCCCACCAGTTGTCACCTAAAAAACTAAAAACTTGACCACCTTAGCATACATGGAAATGTCAAATCAAACAATGTTAATTGATTGCTACAGATAAGCTAAATGACGCAAAACTAAGCTAGGAGTATGTCGAATCAAGGAATATTATCCATGTTGAAGAAAAACTCTATTTTTCTTGAACTGCCTTTGAACTTTCAACCAATGTCAGCCAATTCAGTTATCATCTTTGATTAAACTACCAATTCTCATGGCCAGGGCTTTCTATTGTTTAACTGCAACGAGCTAGACGTAATAACACAGCTGCTGGACCTCTAAAACAGTAAAACCACATATATCTGTGATTCCTCTCGTCCAATGATGCTAATGCCTCTCATGGCTACTTCTAGCTTAATGCTAATCCTTGCATTCCTTTGTGACCTTGCCATTACAGCTAATACCGCAGGCGGGTTAGCTCATACAAGTTACCTGAAGAAAGGCTCCTCCCTCTCTGTTAATCGTGCTTCTGATATCATACAATCACCGGATGGCACCTTCTCGTTTGGTTTCTACAATCTTTCCTCTACTGTCTTCACCATATGCATCTGGTTTACCACTTCAGCTGATAGAACCATTGCTTGGAGTGCAAATCGCAACCACCCTGTCTATGGGAGTGGATCAGAGGTCAGGCTGAACAAGGATGGTACCATGGTTTTAACGGATTATGATGGCACAGTTGTGTGGCAAACCAACACAAGCTCCAAAGGAGCTGATTATGCTGAGCTCATGGATTCTGAGAACCTTGTCATGAAGAATCAAGGTGGCAACATCCTCTGGCAAAGCTTTGACCATCCAACTGACACGCTGCTGCCGACACAACCAGTGACAGCCTCCACAAAGCTGGTATCGACAGATCCCTCACACCCTTCAAGCTACTATACTTTGCGCTTCGACGACCGTTACATTCTTTCACTTGCTTATGATGGACCAGATATTTCTAATCTTTATTGGTCTAACCCAGACTTTAGTAGCTGGCTGAATTACAGGATTAGTTACAATGGCAGTAGGAGAGGTGTTCTTGATAACCTGGGGCAGTTTACAGCAAGTGACAACACAAGCTTTGTTTCAGCAGATTGGGGTCCAGGTATCAAGAGGAGATTAACACTGGATTACGATGGCGATCTGAGGCTTTATAGCTTGAATGACAGCGACGGGAGCTGGTCTGTTTCTTGGATGGCTTTCTCAGCCTTGTGAAATACATGGTATATGTGGTTGGAATGGTATTTGTGTCTACACACCAGTTCCAGCCTGCTCCTGCCCTCCTGGTTATGTGGTTAGGGATCCAACTGACTGGAGCAAAGGCTGCAAACCAAAATTCAACATCTCCTGCAGTGGTGATCAGCAAATGGGCTTTGTGAGCCTTCCTCAAACTGATTTCTGGGGTTCTGATTTTGACTACATCCCAATGACGTCACTGGATGCTTGCACCACTCTGTGCTTGGATACTGCTCCTGCCTAGCTTTCGAGTACAAACCAGGTATCAATGGCTGCTACTTGAAGTCTGTTCTCTTAAATGGAAAGACTGTCCCAGGCTATCCTGGCACAACACACCTGAAGGTTCCTCAGAGCTTTTTGTCTGAAACAATCTCATCTGTTCCTCAAAATAGTGAAATCCTATATTGCAACACATCAAGTGCAAAAGTAGAAGTTCTAGTATTCAATCCTGATGCACATAGTAATGGTGTAAACAGTACGATGTGGCACTACAATGGGTTCTTTTTTTTTTGAACGTAATGGTAGGAGCTCTACCTTTCAATCAAGAAGAATAGAATTGGCCTAGTTTATAAGGAAACCAGGCCTGAAAACCTTACAGAGGCACAGATTAAAACATAGAAAATACCCACAACACTAGAACACCATAGCCCTGACGACCAACACACAGAGGTAACACACCAAACCAAACGACGCCCACCGTGTGTCCTCATTGCCGAGCTGATCACAAGGAGCAAAAAGCAGCTCCGGCTTCCCATGGTGAACCCCATGGTGAACAACAGCCAAATGCGCTCACATCCTCCCCTGAAGCCTTGGTTTCTTGCAAGCAGAAAATGGTGCTTCCGGTATGTCTGACACGATCATGTACCGAGTCTCACCTTGCGCCATCATTTACTCCCCTCTATAACAGCTTGGCTTGGCCTGCCGTGAACGAATCCTCGAGCAGCGCAGACGGTGCAAGGAAGCATTATGTCACGATTTGCCTCGACATGGCTGGTCTGTCGAGGCCACTGAGTGCCACCAGCGCCTTGATGATAAGGTCGGACATCGGACCTTTGAAGAGGTTGAGGTAGCGCTGCAAGGTCATCTCTATAGTTTCACTTTCTTCCTGTGTGACGCCCAACGCTTCATGAGCACTTGCCTTGCTTTGCTCAGCGCATCACCACGTGGCCAAGCAATGGCTGCTAGACGTGCACTGCGCCGGGACGACTTGCTCAGCCTCTTCTTTTCCCTCCGTGGCTTCACTAGTCCATGTTGTTGTGGAGGAAGCAGGGGTTGTTGGACAGGCTTGGTTATTGACCGGATGAAGTTTGCCAGCGCTACTTCACATGCAGACTGGCCAGCATCCTCTAGCAAAGGTGGCGAAGTGTGTTCCTATCCTCCAATGTCCATGCAAGGCTCGGCCCTAGCGGCAGCCCCAAAGCCACGACGGGGGTGTGCAGACCCACAGCACAGACGCCTGGTGTACACACAACCCGGGTGAAAACGACACCTCCTCAACCTGAGCCTCGTCGCCCCCTCCAAGGTCGCCTTTACCAGTTCTGTATCCTCGAGCTACGATGCATTGATCTCCACAGGACAGGAGGGCTCAACATTTGTGTCGATCTCCACAGAACAGGAGGGCTCAACATTTGTTGAGGCCGGGGAGAGTAGAAGTGAGTCGGATTCCCCACCGGCAGCATGAGTAGGTGAGCAACATGAGACAGGATGCAGTGGGGGTTCTTTAGCTGCTGCAATCTCTATTTGAAGAAGGGCATCTTCGACATCCTGAATTGTAACCTCCGGTATTGCTGATCTGTTGGACGAAGAATTGATCTTGTTGAATGTTGTCGCCACTTTCACGGGGAACCACTAGGGGCAATCTCCTTGGTCCTGTGAAGTTGGTCTCCCTAGCTCTTTGGTTCCTGGCTCTGTTCCGTGGCCACGGCACAGTTATCGTTGCTTGGTTCATGCCTGAAGAGTCTTGATTCAACGTCGAAGGTATCTTCATCTTTTCTGCCATGGCATGTATCTGAAGCACAAGATTCTCCGCGAGCTTCATCCATTTTTTGCTGGACTCTTGCAACTTTTGCAGCTATGCACTGAGCAGCAGGGAGAATTCACTATGCAAGCTTTGTATCTCTGTGTCAAGCATCTTCTTGATTTTGTGCTGAAGATAATTAGCATGTTCGGTAAAGAAATGCTGAACAGCAGGATCAACGCTACTTAGGTGCAGATGCTCGGTGCGACAATCATTCTGGTGACCTGATGATTGTTCCTCCCGTGGAAGACCTTGCGGCAGAGGTGGATGACAAGGCATGGCCGATTGACGGGGATGGTGGTGACGCTGATGACAATCCCGCTCACGATGGCACGAGCGGCGGCACTGGAAGCAGGTGATGGGCTCTCGGCAAGCGGCAGCCCAGTGACCCCGTGCAAGGCAAATGAAACAGCGGCCTTCAATGATCTTCTGAATGCGGGGAGAGAGATGAGTCATGCTCCCATCTTTGCTACTTGGATGGGTTGGTGAGTGGCACAGCTCCTCCCGTGGATACTCAACCTTTCTCCACCAGGTGTTCCTAGATGACTTTGATGCTTGAAGAAGCAGAGTACGAAGGGCTATCAGCGAAGTGAACTCGAAGACCTGCATGACGGGGAGGAACTTCGCGGCGAGCAGGATCTATGATAATTGATTTAAGCTTGTGGTCCTGCGGCTGCTGGTGATGATTTTTGCCCGACGAAGAAAGCTTCACGATATCGGCGTAGGTAAGGCTTGTCTTGGGCTCTGACTAGGGCGTTGGAGGCACTACTAGGTTGTCGTCAGGCTGTGGCCGACGTTGATTGAGCGGCGGCGGCAGCGGAGTGTCCACGGAGCTGTGTAGATCAATCGTCGACAAGTTGGGGACGGAGCGCCGGTGGTCGAAGTTGCATCTGTTGGGAGGTGATTGTTCCAGTATTGGTGCGTCGAGTGGCGGCGACGAAGAATACGCCCAGGATCCACCAGACGAGGAAGCAGTGGTGGTGAGTCCACCAACAGTACCTCATCTACATCCACATCGTCGGAATCGAGCACCAAATGGTTGCTGGAACCGAGCTCCGAGTGGTGGATGTTGTTGGGGGAAGGTGGATGCACAGCAGGGGGCATCGATCTGAAGCGGAATGTGGAGGCGGAGTCTTCTAGAGACGAGGAATGACGCGTGAGGCCGGAGTGATGGTGGGTCGAGCATGACCGGGATGGAGGCTTGAGCAGCGCGGTCCTGATCTTCGTTCGTGGGCTTGGTGGCAAGCTTGGTGGCCATGGCCGACATCGGCTTGGTAGCGGCCTTGCCGGGGTTGGGTCTAGCGTCGGCGGTGAGGCAGGCGGATGACCACTTGACAGAGCTCCTCCCCCGCAGCCAGCTTTCCGGCGGCGACGAGTTTCCCCACGTGCGGAGCTTCCCCGCGGCCGGCTGGCGAGCAGTGCCCGCGAGCAACGTCCACGAACCAGGAGCTCACATCGTGGCTAGGTTGGGCTCCTCGCCGCGCCTGTTGTCCCCGGTGACGCGGAGGGCGTTGGCCCAGGCGAACCCCGCCAAAGGAGTGGGTGGCGCGGCAGAGGAGGCGGACAAGCGGAGGCGGCAGCGAGAAATTTCATTATTTAACCCTGAATTCGCAAGCCTCTTAGAATTTGACATCAAATTCGCAAGCCTTTCAATATTTAACTCTGCGCACGCGAATTGTTTCAATAAGAGGGATTCTTCTCTTCTCCTCTCCTTTCTTAATTTCAATAAATCTTGGGTACTGTTTGGGACACGGGAAAAGACCTTTATACCCCTCTCTACACAAAAGAAGTCTGGGAGAAGATCCGGCTCTTGGCCTATGCGTGCTTGTGCTCCTCATCCATACAGGCCCTCCCCCAACTCCTCTCATAGTACAGCACTTCCCCCGCTACACACATGTGTTGTCAAAGAAAAAACAGCTACACACATGTAACATATATTTGATAAAAATTAATGTAAACAAAGTACAAATTATAATCAAATTTCAAGATAGAAAAAATAACATTAATATAATTTAAGAGTACAGGTTCACTGACAATAGCCATCCATACATTTTAGTAAATAGGTTCAAGTCAATACAACCATACAAACAATTTAAAGAGTACATGTTCACTACAATCATCCAGCCAATTTAAGATTACAGGTTCACAAAGACAAAGGAAACTCATCCAGCCAATTTAAGATCACAAGTTCAAATTGACAAAAGAAACACCCTGATGGCTGGGCATTACAAAAGAATCATCCTGATGGCTGGGCATTACAAAAGCCATTCAAACATCGATCTTCTTTGCCTTCTTTGGAGTGAGTTTTTTCTTCAGACCTAGCCTCCTCCTTGGAGTGGTTATAGCATTACTTGCTCCTTCTCTAGCTTGACTGAATACAATAGGAAAATTGAGTGGTTCAGTACATGAACTAAAATAACCACATACATGTTTAATAAAGTGAATCATTTAACCTTTTTGTCACTGTTCTAGGACTTGTACTAATCTGATTTGTCCCTCCAAATCCAGCCAATGTTATTTGCATTTGGCTAAAAATGAGACAAATGTTTAGAGTAAAAAATGGAATAGTATTCCAAGTTCTAACTCAATGTTGAGTGCATAGAAATTCACCTTCTTGTAACAGCCCCGGGACTAGTGCTAATTTGACTTGTGCCTTCTGGTACTTCCACAAGTCCAGGACTATTATTCCCTGAATTTTCTTGCACTTGAACCTTCTGCCTTTTGGATGAACTAGGAGATGCATCACCTTTGCTACAACCAAGAGGCCTACCTGCCTTTCCTTTCTTGGCCCGACTCTTCCTGTAAATATAAAATAGTTAGTTCAAAATATGAAGCAAGTACAAGTTAGTTCGAAAAAGGCATACATATTTACCTCTTCTTTGTTCCATTGAAAGGGCACTTAGGGGATGTTGATCTATGGCCATGACCTAAGCATTGTTTACACTGCACCTGCCACATGCCT